CATACAGAGATATAAATGATACTATTCTTTCCTCTAGGGACTCATAATTTACTGCAGCTATTTCTACATGAAAGTTATGTTAATTAAATATGTGAAGTTTTACAGTCACCCAAAGGACACTGAAAGTCATTGTTCCACATATAAAAAGGCAGAGGAAGCCAGAATCACAAGCCAAATGGATGAAGTCAAGGAGAGAATGAATCAGTCCTTTCAGAGTGTGGGGTACTTGCTAGGGAGCGAGGGAAGCAGTGAGTAATGAGGAGTGTGATTCAGACAGCTGATCTGTACCATTCCTTACTTCCCAGAGCCGTGGTGGTGCTATGAATACTAGCTGTAGATAAGGTGTTATTGCCAAAGACTAGTCCTAGAGATGCCCTCAAAAGAGTTTCTACATGATTCTCAGAAAAATGCGTAAATCTTTGCAGTATCCTTGACCAGGAGGAAAGGTGGACTTTCATTGATAAGGTTTCCTTTCCAAAGCATTGGTATGATTTCCTGTAGTAAAGGCCCTTCTCTCTTTCTGCTTGTCCCCTGTAAGCTGAGAGGAAAAAAAAAAATAGAAAGTGAAACTCCTAAAAATATGGTGAAGTAGAGCTGTAAAGAATCTTTGGAATGGGCGTTCTGAATGAGGCAATGTCTATGTTATTTCTTCCTGTTTTTTAAAAGTCCTTGAACTGCTGGGACCATAAGTAGGAGAGGCTGAGTGTGAGGAATTGCCCTGCAGAAGAGATCTGCCCGAAACCCCTAGACCCCTCTTTTTTCTTGGCTTGTAGGGTATGTGGGAGGCGGTCCAGGACCTTGAGTCTGAGTGATGACCAGTGACATGGCACATGTATATGACAGATGGTGGCTACTCTTACCGTGATGCTCTTTGGGCCATGCATTATCTAGGGCTTGATGACCATCTGTATCTCAGTGTGATAGAGTGGAACTTCTGTGAGCACTAAGATCTAAGCTATCAGTTCATTGTTGAGCAATGTTATAGAACTGACCGCGTCTAAGACTGAGCTGTGACAATCCCATTACTGGGTATGTACCCAAAAGATTATAAATCATTATACTATAAAGACACATGCACACATATGTTTATTATAGCACTATTCACAATAGCAAAGACTTGGAACCAACCCAAATGCCCATCAATGACAGACTGAATAAAGAAAATGCGGCACATAGACAACATGGAATGTTATGCAGCCATAAAAAAGAATGAGTTCATGTCCTTTGCAGGGACATGAATGAAGCTGGAAACCATCATTCTCAGCCAACTAACACAAGAACAGAAAACCAAACACTGCCTGTTCTCACTCATAAGTGGGAGGTGAACAATGAGAACACATGTACACAGGGAGGGAAATAGCACACAGTGGGGCCTGTCGTGGGGTTGGGGACTAGGGGAGGGATAGCATTAGGAGAAATACCTAATGTAGATGACGTGTTGATGGGTGCAGCAAACCACCATGGCATGTGTATACTTATGTAACAAACCTGCACGTTCTGCACATGTATCCCCGAACTTAAAGTATATATATATAAAAAAATAGACTGAGCTGAGTAACCTTTCCGAGGTCAACTTTAGAGATTTGGCTTGTGGATCAGGAGTCTTTTGTAAGGATAGGAGCCCTGGTGGTATGCTGGTGGCTTGTTGACCTTTGCCCCTGCATGTTCTGTGTAGTTGGAGTCAGGTAGCCTAGTGTCAGACTGGGAACTCCAGGCCAGCATGGATGCAGGGAGGCACCTGGGCTCAGGGCAAGGCAGCCCCTTGTCTTGACAGAAGATTGGCCTACAGCCTTCATCAGAGGGAGAGGATTAGACTAGATACCATCTATAGATATTCACCCTCTACTCCTACGCAGGTTATCTCATGGGAACAGTTGTTATTTCGATCCTGTCTGTTCTTAGCCATGCCTTCCCCAGTGCCCAGCCTTGCTTAGCATTCCTAGTGGAGATGGAGCCAGCTTTAGGAGGTGTAGCCTCTGATCTGAATTGAACTAACCCTGAGGTTACGGAAAGGGCAAGCAAGCTGAGAGCGTGAGAATTGCCCCCTGCTATGGCGCATTCATGGGATGATTTGGGGAGGATAATGGCAATAATACCCTGAGAGGAAAGGGTTTTGAATATTCAGCAGCTCCCATCTCAGCCATACTACATGGCCCCACAGCAGAGAGCCTTTGATAAAGTTGGCTTTCTAGAGTAGGGATTGAGGTCAAACTTGCTTGTAAAAGCATCTAGAGTTATGTTACTTTCTTATTTAGAAACAGAGAGCCCAGGACCATAAGGCTTCCGCCTGCTGGACAGCAAGGACCTCCAGCAGCCTCTCAGCTGTTTCCCAGTCACTTTCAGAAGCAAGGCTGCTATAGCTAATTGATGTATGAAAGATGTAATTGCAGCCATTGATAGGGAAAATATCAGCAATATGATGCACTTGGAAGCTCAGAAAAAAATCAAAGGCTACACAGACAACATGACTGTCACACTAGCCAGATCTGAATATAAAATCTAGTCTCTTCTGGTGACGGAGGAAAGGAAGTGTCATCCATACAAGATGAATTTACACTCTGAACCCCAGGAGGTCCTGCACATAGGGAGTGCCTGCAATCCAAATACCATGCTCTTTACTGCCTCTCTTGCTTCCAGCACTTTCCCTGGGGTCATCCAAACCAGTGCAGCAACCCGGCTGGCCTCTCTTCTTCTGAAAACATCTCCAACTTTAACAACACCTTGAGATAACATACTGCTGGTTTTTCAAAAACTGCTGCCAGCAGGGAGGAGGCCAATGGCATGCCCATAGCTCATGTTCAGCCTCCAAGTGGCCTCATCATCAACGAAGAATCTGAAATTTACAAGATGCTTCAGGAGAAACAGGAGTTGAACGAACTCCTGAAACAGTCCACCTCTTTCCTGATTTTGCAGGAAATCCTGAAGTCTGAGATAAAAAGGCATCTCAGCAACCCTCATGATTCAGAAGTATTAAGATTCCTGACCCTGAAGTGGCTGCGTCAATTGGAAATGCTCAGAATGTGCCCGTGTGTGACAAATGCGGTCCTGGCATTGTAGGCGTGTTTGTAAAGCTGTGGAGACCATCATCCCCTCCCTGAATGTTACGTGTGCACTGATTGTGGCATTCACCCAAAAGAGAAGGGCTTTTTTTTTTTTTTCTTTTCTCCATCGAATCTACTGGGAAGAGCATGCCCAGGAGCAAGTCACACCACCTGAGGGTATGATGTGGTCATCATATTCCCCAAGTGATTCAGCAGACCCGCACTGACCACTGTTCTCCAGCCAGCCTCTGCTGCAGCTTGTTCTCTAAATGTTCTGGCCTTGTCTCTTGAAAGTTCTGTACTTACCTTTTTTTTCCCCCTTACCTTGGTTTTATCCCTGCTTATTGAACCTTGAGTCCCCTGTCTTGGTTAACTGACTCACCCTGACTATGTGGTGCTCGCCCACTTTTACAATGAATGGCAAACTGTTTTTGTTCGGCGTCCCCTTGCTGGCAACACTATGTACCTTCCTCCCCTCAGTTCTTCTTTGCTGCAAATGGACATCAGCCACATTTGAACCAAGTCAAATATAATATGTCTGACATTGATTTCATTTTTGCTCAATCTGTAGACTCCCAGAAAAAAGAAATAAAAAAATGAAAACAAAGAGAATTTAAATGAACAAACAGACCCTTCTGGAACCCACTGTGACATGAGATGTGTCCACAGTGCAAGGTTTCAGGCACACACTGAAGGAGCATCTGCTGGATAGTCCTCCCCGCCCCCAAGTCCTTACCAACCTGTGCCACTGGTGCTTATTTTTCTTGACTGATTAGGTAGACACTGATTTACGCATGACTCTTTAATATTTGAGAGCCTAGAGCTTCCAATTAAAATATGCTAAAAGTATTTTTTTAATGTTAGAGTGTTCAACCTTATAATCAGATAAACTGTACTACTCAAAAAAAGGTAAATTTAATGAATATAGGAGTGTGTACACCATTTCCTGTTTACCTGATAAAGCCAATGCTTGGCTCTTTTAAACAGTTTCTGAATTCTTGCATTCTCCATGTTTCCGTGTTCCACAGTGTTTGTACAGTTTTGCTACTCACTATTTCCTAAAAGCCTTAAGGTCTTGAGTTCATCTGGTCTGCCGATTTCATGGGTCTTAGGGAAACTGTGTTCTCTTTAGACTCTCCATGCCATGAGGACCCTGGAAGGACAGCCTCAACAACTTTCCCTTCTGTAGTTTTGTTCCTAGAGGGCAAGGACACAGTCTATTTTGTCATTTCTCCAGGCCTGCCTGGGTGGGGGTAAGAGCTGGGAGACAGATGGACCAGCAACATGGAGTTCCCCTTTGTGTTCTACTTTAAAGCTCTTTGCCAGGAACACTGCATGAACTTTTAGTTTGTATTAGTTAAGCTCCAAGGACCAGTCCATGTTGGGGAAATTGAAGTGAGCATGGGCAGGGTACACAAAACTGCACTTTTCTCACCAGATTCCAAACTGTCCATCCACATTTATGCAGCAGAGAGCCAGAGGTAGTATATTCGAGGAGTGGGTGATGCTGGCAAAAAATGTAGACCCACATAATGTAAAACACACATGCAGAGTCCTATATGGAGGGGTGTTTCAGTCTCAAGTTCTGGATCCACATGCTAGTTCCACTTTGGAGTATGACTTTAAAATGTTACATAATAGATTTCTGAACCTCCTTCTTCATTTGTATAATGGGAATATCAGGCTGACTTATCTCAGTAGGTGGCTATGAGAATCAAATGAGAGAACGTGTATGGGCTGATACTAGTTGCGTACAATGATATGCTCTTCCTGTAGAATGTTACTCATTGAATCTTGTATCTTTTTAATACAGCTCTAGACTTCTAAGTCGCGGTTGGTTCTTTTTCTACTTGCGCAACAAGTGGAATGTGGCACTGGGTTTCTGACAGTGCGCGTGGATTCTTGGAACCAGTTTTGTAAAAGATGGCTCAATCTCTCACTTGTCCATCTGTCCAACAGCATACCCTGTAAAAAGTGTGTGGTGGTTGGTAATGGAGGAGTTTTGAAGAATAAGACATTAGGAGAAAAAATCGACTCCTATGATGTAATAATAAGGTAAATATATTTTCTATTTGCTACCCTAGAATTGTTTCCAAAGAATATGGTTTCTTACCTTAATACAGCTGTGTTTTAAAAGGAAGGGGAGATGTTTCCATTTGTTAGTGTATTTTATTGCACAACCTTCTCTCTTGGTTGTTGGCTAGAGTTAGGCCTAGATTTCAGGCTACTCGTTTAGCAAATATTTGTTAAGTTTCCTCAGTATGCCAGCATGCTTCTAGCCACAGGAGAGATAGCAGTGGATAAGAGCAATGTTTGTGCTCCCTGTGGAGGGAAGAAAACGAGTAATTAAATATATAAAAATTATGAATGCCATACATAATTTAAAAAGGATATAATAGAGAATCTTTGAATGGCTCCTTTGTAATGAGTGACCACTTTGAGAAAGAGACATCTAAGCAGGGCCCAAGTGACCACGGAGCAATAGCCATACGAAGATGACGGTAGAGCAGTCCAGGCAGAAAGGATGTTTGCTGCAGGGCCTCAGGAGGAGATGATGCTGAGTTTGAGAGGAGCAGCACAAAAACCCAGTGAGGCTGGAAAGTAGCAGGCACGCGGAGAGTGGTGCAATCGGAAGCTGAAGCGGTGAGCAAAGATCAGGCTGCAGAGGACTTTGTAAGCTAGGATTAGAAACTTGGTTTTAAGTACGACAGGAAGCTTTTTAAGGGTTTTAAGCAAGAGAACAATGCAATCTGGTCATCTCTTAAATATTCTGGCTGTGGCATGGACAATGGAAGGTGAGGGACAAGGGTGGAAATGAAGAGGCCAATTAGGTTGCTGCATTCGGGTATAATATGATGGTGGCTTGGGGCAGGATTGTCATAGGAGAGGAAGAGATGTGGACTGACTGCAGATGTGATTTAGACATAGAGTTTTCAGGATTTGTTGTGGTATTAGATGTGAAGAGTAATGAGAATAAAGAAATCAAGGATGCCTCCTACTCTGTTTTCAGCTTAGGAGATTGACTGGAGAGTGGTATCATTAAGTTGGGGAAGACTGGTATAGGAGCAGGTTTAGAGGAAAACCATGATATGAACATGTTAGATTTGAGATGCTTATTAGATTTGCAGTGGGTAAGTTGAGTAGGCAGTTGGATAAACAGGTTAAAATCTTGATGGCGTGTGGCCTATAAGCTGTATTTAAACCACGGACTGGGTGAGATTTCTCAAGGAGAGACTGAGAGAGAGAGTGAGGACTGAGCCTTGGAGAACTCAAAGTATAGAAGTTGAGCAAAGAAAAAGGAATGTGTAAAGGAGATGAAGAGGATCCACCAGTGAGGTAAGAAGAAAATCAGGAGAAAGTGATCACAGAAGCCAAGAGAGCAAAGTGTTTCAGGACAGAAGGAGTGACCAACTGTGTCCCAGTGCTGGTGAGAGGTCATGCAAGATAAGGACAGAGTGGTGACCATTGGACTGGTGACCTGAAGCTCATTGACACTCCTGACAAAAGCAGGCTTTGAGGCATGATGTGGCAGGAAGTTCGGCTGGAATAGGTTGAAGAGGGAATGCAGAGAATGCACACCTGAATGTACAGATGAAGATGTAGAGAAACCAATGTAGTCCAAAAACTTCGCTTCAAAGAGGAGTTGAGAAATCAGATGGCAGTTAGAGATGGTTATGCAGTCAGGGGAGATTTTTTTTGCTTCTTTTGAAAAGATTGGAGGCTCTATAGCATATTGGTTAACTGGTGGAAATGAGAAAGAGATTGGTCTGGTAAAAGAGAGGGGAGGGGGTTCAGAATACAAGTGTAGTTAATGTTTTCTAATGGAAAGGAGAGCCAGAATTGTGGTTACAACTACCAAGAGTCCCTCTGATGTAGTGAGGGGAAAATACGGCCCTTTCTATCTTTATTTTTTTAGTGAAAGGTTGAGATAAGGTCATCATCTGGGGGGGGCGGGGTGTGTGTGTGTTAGGAGTAGCTGTGAATAGTTTAAAGAATGGCAAAGTTAGCATACTGAGGCAAAAATTAGGATGGTTTGGCAGTATTGGGGGTTTTGTGGGCTTACAAGCTGCCTAGGGTTTCTGCATGGTGAAGTCACCTTATTTTCTGTTTACTATCCGTTTTGAGGAAGCTGTGATAATTTACCTACAAAACAATTTTAGAGCAATCACAGGTTTCTCTACCCATAATTGTCTAAATCTGATAATTTAGAGCCACAGGAAGCCCTTACAGGAAAATGCCATGGGTACAATATTTTGAAAGTCATCTCAAGTGTTATTAAGTCTGTTCGTCTTATATTACATAGAGTCAGTGGCAAAGGGCAAAACAGTATTTATCCTCCTTGGGGACACTGTTTTGGAAACAGCATTTCTTTTTTTATAGCATTCCTTCATAATGTGTACATAAATAGTGCATGTCCAACCTTGGCTTTCAGCATACACAAACTCAACAGTAGATCCTTTGTGGTTCTTTAGTTTACTCTAGCAATAGACATTCATTTGGTTGTGCTTGAATGTAATATAGCAAATTTATATTGTTAACTTTATTTCAGAGTACAACAATTTTGATGGGTCTTTAAACCAACTGAAATGTGATTCTTCTTACCTGTTAGTCACACACATCCATGTGCTATATGACTGTGTGGCTTTGAGCAAGTAATTTTCTCTCCAGGGGTTTGTCCTCCAAGGTCTCTTTCAACTCTGGTATCCTGGGGCTCTGTGTTCCCATTTTTTAAATTTAGTCTTCAGTTCCCCTGGAGGGAAGACTGAATTATCACTGGCTCCACAATTAATTTTCAAATACAAATGAGTATTTCTGCCTTTGATCAACCAATGATTTAATGAAAAGGAATGATCTTCTTGGGCATTATGTGTGAAAGATTGATCTGTTGCTTTGTGGCTTCAGAGTGCAGGATAAAGGCTGATGTTTGTCCAACTCTGAAACCTCTGAGAACTGTGATGGAAATGGCACATACTGCACTTGGTCTACATATCTTGTATGTTTTACTATCCACAGAATGAATAATGGTCCTGTTTTAGGACACGAAGAAGAAGTTGGGAGAAGGACAACCTTCCGACTTTTTTATCCAGAATCTGTTTTTTCAGATCCCATTCACAATGACCCTAATACGACAGTGATTCTCACTGCTTTTAAGCCACATGATTTAAGGTGGCTGTTGGAATTGTTGATGGGTGACAAAATAGTAAGTAGGCAAAATTGTTCTGCCTTCAGATTACCTGTAGTGCTTTTTTTCCTTAAAAAACAGTCAGCCACACTGTTCTATTCTCTATATTCTTACTTTCAGAACACTAATGGTTTTTGGAAGAAACCAGCCTTAAACCTGATTTATAAACCTTATCAAATCCGAATATTAGATCCTTTCATTATCAGAACAGCAGCTTATGAACTGCTTCATTTTCCAAAAGTGTTTCCCAAAAATCAGGTATGTATTTATCTCTGCATGGTTTCAAACTACAGATCTGGCTGAGGTAGGATAGAGGGTCCTGGGAACTCTCAAAAAAAAAAAAAAATCATCTCATGAGATGATTTCTGAGGGTCCTCTCTGAGTTAGTGAAAGTAGTTATCTGTGGATATTATCTTTATGTTTTTCATTTATGTTGCAAGGAAATATAATTTTAAGTTGGGTTTTTTCCTGCCCTTGTAGGGCCTTCCTGGGGTCTCTTTGCGCATGCTCAAACAGTTTTTCTTTCATAACTCTGTCCTCAGTGTTCTGCAGTGAGGAGAGTCTGACTGGGTGGGCTGACGGGCAGGCTTGTGCTCAGAGTAGCTGGCCTGGCTTCAGGACAAGTGCATGGCTTTGCAAGCTGAAAAGAACTGTCTGAGATGCTCTGATAGAAATATCACAGGAAAGTCAGAGGAAAGGTGAGGAAGGGCAATAAAGTAGTCCAGAAACATTTCTGTGGTCAGAGGAAATGTTGGCACTGGATTCTCAAGAAATGGCAGTTACAGCCATATTGAAAGAGTTCTTGAAACTTCAAATTGAAATCTCATTGACTTTCACTCTTGTTTGCCTACTTTCCCTAGAAAACAATACTCTAGACCCATACGGTGGCAGATACATTTTTCCCTGGAAGCTTGAGTAACTGTATAACATGATACCTTGGTTGAAATGAATTTTTTCCCCCTTTTTAAAGTAGGGAAAAATCCAAAGAAATAAATATATATCATGTATTTTCATGATGTATATTTAGCATGATAAAAATCGTGATTAAGAAATTCAAAAGTGTTATATGCTGAAAACAAATAAGTTAGTGTTGCACACTGAAAATAATATTAAAAATCAAAAAGGAAGTCACCATTCTTTTCTCTTCCCTCTGTAACCCATGTAATCTCTCAAGCTTTTCTACCTTTTATGTGCTTCCAGACTATTTGCTATGCATTCATAAACACACACCCTTTTTGTTTGTTCAGTATAATTATGATTATAACATAGGTATTGTTATTTTCTTTTTTCCCTTTATTTAACTCTTCCCCTATTTATAGACACTCAGATATATCCAACATTTTCTTCTCTTTAAATAATGTAGTAGTACATGTGTTTATAGGGGTTTTCTGCCCATTTGTCGCATTTCTGTAGGATAGACTGCTGGAAGTGGAATGCTCAAGTCAAAAAGCATCCGTGTTTTGATTTTAAAGCTGACTTCCTAGTAATTTTGAGGGTAAAGGACAGCTTCTGAATGTGTGTTTTGTGACTTTTCAGTTCCTATCTTTCTAAGTGAAGTATGATCAGGTGCATCTCTTGCTTCTTCATTTTAGGTAATATCTTTAATTCCAAAAGCACAGGAAGACCCTGAACATACTTAGTGATAACATTAGAACGAACTGTAGCTATATCAAAGTCCCAGTAGGACATGGTGTCCCAGAAACCAAATGCGGTATTTCAAGAGAAGTCAGCCATATCGGATGCTGTCCAGAGGTTGAGCGTAAATAATAAACCCTGGTTTTAGAAACGTGGAGGTCATGTTGGTGATATATATTGACAACAAGAAAGAAGGAAAAAGCCTGCTTGAATTCGGTTGAAGAGAACCTGGGACATGAGCAAGCAGCAACAAATCTTTAGTGGACTTTTTGCTAGAACAAGGATCAGAGAAACGAAGCAGTAGTTGGAAGATGATACAGGATTGAAGAAGCGTGTTTTGTTCTTTTTTGGTCTGTGTATATGCTGAAGGGAGCGGTTCAGCAGAAAGAAACACTGATGATGGGAGAAAGTAGATGATAAGTACAGAAGTAAAAGTGTTGAGAAGTGATATGGGATAAAATATAGACTAGTGAAAAGTTGCTGAAGTTACGTCTCATCCATTATAGGAGAATAAGCACTGCAAATGTGAGTAAAGATACAGGTAACATGGTAGATTTGGAGTTGGGATGATGACGTCACTCTTTTGACTGCTTTTGTTTCCTTAAAAAATTAGAGATTAAATAGTCAAATTAGGAAGGAGAGTAGGGCTGTTGGAGGATACAAAGTTATAAATTCTCATCTTGGAGAGTAGGAATGGAAATTTACTAGTCAAACGTAACTGGATTGCTGGGCATACTTAATGCCTGTTGGGTCATAAGCATATTTTTCTGCTGCCCTATTCTGTTGCTGGGGTGTGGGTACAGGTTGACTGCAGTGCTTATTCCTCTTCTAAGAGTTTTGTCAGGCGGTAATATAGGTTCTGTGAGTGATGGCTGCAGAAGAGCTGGTCTACATAAAGGAGTGGTTATAAAGACGGATGAAGGACTCTTTTTTTTTTTTCTGAGACGGAGTCTCGCTCTGTCGCCCAGGCTGGAGTGCGGTGGCGCGATCTCGGCTCACTGCAAGCTCCGCCTCCCGGGTTCCCGCCATTCTCCTGCCTCAGCCCCCCGAGTAGCTGGGACTACAGGCGCTGGGACTACAGGCGCTGCCACCACGCCCGGCTGATTTTTTGTATTCTTAGTAGAGACGGGGTTTCACCGTGTTAGCCAGGATGGTCTCGATCTCCTGGCCTTGTGATCCGCCCGCCTCGGCCTCCCAAAGTGCTGGGATTACAGGCGTGAGTCACCGCGCCCGGCCGAAGGACTCTTAAGATGTGAAGAAAGGAAGTAGAAGACATGAAAAGGGGCAAGGAGAAGGAAAAAGTAATGGGATCACTGAGGCTGAATGACTCCTAGGTTACAGTGGTACACAGGATAAAGAAAAGTTTATGCTGAAGGCAGTTAACACTTTCAGACAAGTTTGCCTCCTGGAGTTGATTTGATTTGATTGTGCTTCTTCGATTTTTTTTTCTTTTCCTTAAAATCATACTAAGTCATATGTAATTTCAATGGGAACTATAAGAAACACTTTTTTGAAAGCGTTATATAAAAAGCTTACGATATATCTTATTTTTTGCTTTGAAGCCCATCTCAGTGAAAATTACAATTTCTGGAAGCCAAGACCCTCTTGTCAAATATCTGTCAGACTGGTTTTCAAGATATATGTAAGACAAGGAAAGAGGATGCTTGGTTTTTTTTCTAAAAAACTAATGGTGCAGTTGAGATTGTGATATTGCTATGTATGCATTTGGAATATTTATTTTCTAGTCGGATACTATTACAATTTGTCATTGAAGTGCTTGATTAGCCTTTCCCTAGAGTTAAATGGTGAGTATAAAATACAGCTATTCGAAGGCGAATTTATAGGAAGTCTTTTATCATGATTCCATCCATTTGCAAATTAAGCTGTCCTTAAAATTCATACATGTTCAAAATTCCCAGGCTTTGCTTTTGCTGTAAGAAGCCTGACTCATCATGTTTTTGTATTTTTTAAAACAATACAGCAACATTCTTTTCCTTAAGCCTCACAGTATTCTTTCATTTGATAGTTGTCCTCTGGGCTAATACCGCAACTATATTTTATTTTAAAGACTTCCTAAGATTTCAGTCACAGTTTATATATTTTTTAGAGTTAAGGTATATATGCATACTCTTTGGGGCTTGAGCCTTATATGAGAGCTTAATTATTTTTCTCCTTATTAAATGTTTAGAAATCCCTGTTTTATATGATTCGGCCAACTAAATATGCTTTGCAAACAAGTAGCTCCTTTTGCTTAAAAATTTTTTTTTCATTCCTTCCCCCAGAAACCTAAACACCCAACAACAGGAATTATTGCCATCACATTGGCATTTTACATATGTCACGAAGTTCACCTAGCTGGTTTTAAATACAACTTTTCTGACCTCAAGAGTCCTTTGCACTACTATGGGAATGCCACCATGTCTTTGATGAATAAGGTAATATACTTTAGGTAATATACATACGCTTTGGACTAATCCTTGAGGGATGGAAATCCCAAATTTTCTCTTCTCACACTCATTACTGAGCGACCAGGTTTTGAGTGGTTGAGGGCTTGATGGGGATTACAGGGCTACCAAGGGCTGCAACTAGAACTCATGTACAGGATCATTTTACTACAGCATCAAATCCCAATTTATGGGCCTCATGGTTATTGCCAAGTGTCATCAAATCCATATAAGTACAGAACCTTACTTTAGATATTCTATCATATTTGCACTATGGAAATTCAGCCAACCTGCTATGTTTGAGATATTACAAATTCACCTTGCATTGCTATGTTTAATTATTCTCAGTTGTTTATAAGTAGACAAGATGATCTAGAATATTTTAACCCTACAAGAGAATCTTCATGGTCAAAAAGGTTACAAACCTTCATACTGGATCACACTTCTCTTGAATAGGGATTAATAGTGAGGATTTGTATTTTGTTTGTTTTTTTAACAATTTCGCTTTAATTTTTTTTTTTTTTTTTTTTTTTTTTT